CACCATGGGAGATCACCCCGTTACAGATTACTGCCGCTTCCTAGCCGGTCGGCCGAGCGGACAGCACGCTGGACTTGTGATCCTGTGGTCCCGGGTTCGATCCCGGGCCCCGGCGAGAAACAATGGGTAAGAGTTTTTCACCCTATGCCCCTGTTACCTAGCAGTAAAATAGGTACCTGGGTGTTAGTCAGCTGTCACGGGCTGCTTCCTGGGGGTGGAGGCCTGGTCGAGGACCGGGCCGCGGGGACACTAAAGTCCCGAAATCATCTCAAGATAACCTCAAGATAGCCACCTGAGATGACTCAAGATCAACCCAAGCTTTGACTTGTAAAGTATAATACCTTTAGAAAGATTGATGATCTGGTCGTAGAACTCTCCCGCCCATACTGTTTACATTGATGATTCTCTGCACTATTCTACTGGTGCCACTGGAGTGCATTGCTCTTTACAACGAGAGTTGAATCATGTTCTGTTGTTGTTATAGATTCAGCTACACAGAACAAGTTCCAAGTAGCACGGGCTATGGTGAGCCTGTAGTGGACTTACCTGGCACAGGAGCGGTGCTGTGTCACGTTCTGAATGGGAGCTCATATTACTTAACTGGGCCTTCACACTTCAGACAACATTGTTTGCTAAACTCCTTGCACTGAAACAAGTATATGTATTGAAAAATTAACTATCAATTGTAAGTGACTTATCCTTGATTTCACTTAACTCCTGAAGGCATAACTAACAAATTTATTTGAGTCTGAAGTAAGGCACAGATACAGTAAAATCATCAGTGATACCAGCAGACCTGGAGAGGATCTCGAGTTGTTCTACTCCCCGAGCCCGGCCTGAGGCCAGGCTCGAAATCAGTATATCTCCTATGGATCTCTTCGCATATTGGTCCCCCTGAATACATGCTAGAAGTGGCGAGGGAGTTAAGAACAGCCGTTGATATCCTTTGACCGGCATGTCGAGGGCTTCGTTATAACGCAATCTAGGTACACCCAAACGGGACCCGATATAGACCTATCTGTTAATGACCCGCAACAGCACTGAACATACATGACTGTTTCCGTTTGTATAGCCAATGGAACCAAATTTTCCTTGAGGAAAATATCACCTTAATGTGATAATGTTGTTTGATTTATGGGTCAGGGCGGCAGTGCGTGGTGCCGGTGGTGTGCCTTGAAGTGCATGCATGCGGGGCATAACAACCCATGCCACAATTACCAAATTAATAACATTACATTACAGCAGATTGATGAAGAAAAGTACCTTGGAGCCCAAATCCCCCACTCACCGAAAGTTGCACAATAGGTAGGAGCAGCAGTCAAAAAAGCAAACCAAACCCTTCGAATAATCAAGCGTACCTTTGACTTTTAAGGAAAAGGTAGAGATTGATTTGTATAAATATCTGGTACGCCCCTATTTGAATTGCTGTATACGAGCATGGCGACCTCATCTTCAGAAGGACATTGATGCTCTGGAGAAGGTGCAACAAAAATCATTGCAAAGCTAAGTCAACTATCGTATCAGGAACGGTTGAGGGCCACAGGGCTAACAACACTACAAACCAGGCATAATAGGGCGGATCTCATTGAAACATTTAAAATACATTACTGAACAATTTGGAGGATGTTGATCCGGAAAATATGTTGAAAAGGTCAGACGTAAGAAACAAGGAGGAACGGTTTCAAACTCAACAAGCCAAGGACTAAACAGATGCTTTTTCACCCACAGTTATAAACCCATGGAACCGCCTACACGCCAAAGTAGTAAAAGAAAATTACCGAAAAAATGTTATATTTTAAAAACCAACTGGAAAAGAGGGCAATGGGTGGGACCTTTGACAAGCTGCCGGTTTCCTGTCCTCGTCGTCGAGGCCATTAGTGTTAGTGATGGGGGTGAGTAGTGACAGGATGAGTATAGGGTGCACAATAAACTACCGCTCACAGGATGAGTATGGGGTGCACAATAAACTACCGCTCACATAATGAGTATGGGGTGCACAATGAACTACCGCTCACAGGATGAGTATGGGGTGCACAATAAACTACCGCTCACAGGATGAGTATGGGGTGCATAATAAACTACAGCTCACAGGATGAGTATGGGGTGCACAATAAACTACCGCTCACAGGATGAGTATGGGGTGCACAATAAACTACCGCTCACAAGTTGAGTATGGGGTGCACAATAAACTACCGCTCACAGGATGAGTATGGGGTGCACAATAAACTACCGCTCACAGGATGAGTATGGGGTGCACAATAAACTACCGCTCACAGGATGAGTATGGGGTGCACAATAAACTACCGCTCACAGGATGAGTATGGGGTGCACAATAAACTACCGCTCGCAGGATGAGTATGGGGTGCACAATAAACTACCGCTCACAAGATGAGTATGGGGTGCATAATAAACTACAGCTCACAGGATGAGTATGGGGTGAACAATAAACTACCGCTCACAAGATGAGTATGGGGTGCACAATAAACTACCGCTCACAGGATGAGTATGGGGTGCACAATAAACTACCGTTCACAAAATGAGTATGGGGTGACAATACAACAATAATAAAATCCCATTATATATATAAAATATATATATATATATATATATATATATATATATATATATATATATATATATATATATATATATATATATATAATATTATATATACATAACAATAACACTAATAACAATAATGCTTTTTGTATTAGTATAAATGTTTACTATAGATATTATTATAATTGCTATAATTATAATTATTAATACAGTACTATTATTATTATTAAACAAATAAAGAAGTCTCCCACTCTATGCATGCGTTTTCTTCCATCACAGAAAACTTGCGCCTCATTTTTTGTGGTATCATGTTGGACTTTTTCGTTGCCATTTCATTGATGATAATCCTGCACGAGTCATCCTCCCAGGGAGGTAACCTCTCTACAGGCAGGAGCTCACAGGCTTGCTCAAGGAGATGAAGTTCTTCGAGGTAGCAGACTGATCTGTGATGCCATTTTTTGCTTCTAGCACAGAACTCAGTTTTTTCTTGGCAATATCATTGTAATAGGGATCTCTGGCTATCTTAATTGCAAGCTTAGCATTCAGTTCCTTAATTCTGGGCTTTTAACATTGGGGAGGGACAACTCTTCTCGTAGATTAGATGTTTCGGCAGTTTTTAGAACTCCAAGAATGATTGTCATGGCTTCATTTTGGATGCTTTCGAGCCTTTTCATATCGCTTTGGGAGTTATCTTGAGAAGATTTCGTGGACCGGTCCTCAACCAGGCCTCCTTTTTGTTACACCCTCAGGAAGCAGCCCGTAGCAGCTGTCTAACTCCCTGGTACCTATTTACTGCTAGGTAACAGGGGCATCAGGGTGAAAGAAACATTTTGCTCATTTGTCTCCGACTCCACCGGGGATCGAACCCGGAACTTCAGGACTACGAATCCGAAGTGCTGTCCATTCACCTGTCAGGCGCTCAGTAGGTGCGTAAACCCGGTGCGGCATAGCCTATGGCGGAGTGTTGATGTTTGGGGGTTATATTGGGTTAGGGTTGCTGATGAATAGGACGATGAGGTGGTGGTGGGGCCACGTGCACGCACAACACACACACACACACACACACACACACACACACACACACACACACACACACACACACACACAGTAGTTAGTAAATGGAATGCATTAGGAAGTGATGTGGTGGAGGCTGACTCCATACACAGTTTCAAATGTAGATATGATAGAGCCCAATAGGCTCAGGAATCTGTACACCAGTTGATTGACGGTTGAGAGGAGGGACCAAAGAGCCAGAGCTCAACCCCCGCAAGCACAATTAGGTGAGTACAATTAGGTGAGTACACACACACACACACACACACACACACACTCGTGCTTCACCTCTGATTTATAACTCAGAAGTTTTGCTATTTGGTGGCGTGGCTGGCTGTGGCGGGAACCACTGTTCCCGCCACCCTCCACCACCCTCCACCACACTGTTCCCGCCACCCTTCACCACACTGTTCCCGCCACCCTCCACCACACTGTTCCCGCCACCCTTCACCACACTGTTCCCGCCACCCTCCACCACACTGTTCCCGCCACCCTCCACCACACTGTTCCCGCCACCCTCCACCACACTGTTCCCGCCACCCTCCACCACACTGTTCCCGCCACCCTCCACCACACTGTTCCCGCCACCCTCCACCACACTGTTCCCGCCACCCTCCACCACACTGTTCCAGCCACACAAACTAACAAAAGTACAACAGTTAGTCCGGTTTAACTTCTACAAGAAACATTCAAGGAAGCAAAATATTCAAATATACACCTTCTGACCATAGTTATGGTCGCCAACCACTCGAGCGGTTATTAATTATACTGATCAAATCAGCAAATTAAAAAATGAATTGCGTCGTTTGATGGACACCTGGGAATGGTAGTTACAAATAGTTTGAAGGCATGTGCCGATTTATTGAAAAAAAAGGTCTAACGGATCATTATTTTTGATTTAGAAATATTAGGATCTAATTTCGACTCGAGATTATCATGCATTTGTGATGAATATGTTAAAATATATCTTAGTCAAAGGGCCGAGAAATTAATATTGGTTTGATCACCATTATTTAAGAAAGGATTTTGATAAATTTTGAAATTTGATGCAAGTGTTTAAATTAAGAAAGTGAATGATTGTTATTTAAAAACAAAACTTGATTTTGATGCAGTTAAATGCAACAACACTTGCATTGTTTTAACACTATGTGTAGATAAATAATTTCAGTTTACTGATATAATGTTCAACATTTACAACAGACATACAGACATACCTGAGAGTAATAACAGATATTACTAACGGCTAAGAAGCCTCATTTGGAAGAGAAGAACATGTGTTTAATGACTTTGAATGTTTGTTTGCCTCGTTTCAGAGCAGTCGTTGGCGCCGCCACCTACACCAGTCCCCAGTGGCGCCCCGCTGCTGCCACCTACACCAGTCCCCAGTGGCGCCGCCGCCGCTGCCACCTACACCAGTCCCCAGTGGCGCCGCCGCCACCTACACCAGTCCCCAGTGGCGCCCCGCTGCTGCCACCTACACCAGTCCCCAGTGGCGCCGCCGCCGCCACCATGGTGCGGGACGGGTGAAGACGTTGCCAGGTGCGGGCGCCAGCTGACGACCGTCGGCGCCAAACCCACAGAACAACAAATTATATGACTCGGGTCGGCATAACGAAGACATGAATGAGCCAGAGGTGAGTGATATGAGCCATGTAAAAGGGACATGAGCAAGAGTAACATGAACCAAGTAGGAATGAGTGACATGAGTCAAGTAGGAATGAGTGACATGAGTCAAATATGAATGAGTGACGAGCCAAGACATGAGTGACATGAGTAGGATGGCCATTTCCAAATCTCCATTAAGGAATATATACCCGCAGGGGCATAGCCAGAAGAGCAATACTTGGCCTAGTATGCAACGCCTCATTTGCCTAACAAGCAGAGTGATTTACGTTATTTTCAAATATTTCTTTTAAAATTGGTTAATTCCACTTAATATTATTATTATATTACAAATATTAATTATGACTTAAGTTAGCTTAGGATAGGTTAGGTTAGATTAGGATAGCCTAACCTAGGTTAGGTTAGGATAAGATAGGTTAGGTTAGCATAGGTTAAGTTAGATTAAGATAAAATAGATTGGGTTAGATTAGGATAATTCAGGAGAATTCAGCTTGCTAGGCAACTTGGCTTATTAGGTACTATATATGTACATAAATATATATGAATATAAGGTATATGAATGTGTATTTTCAATTACCAAATTCTAGTTAGCACTTAACAAATTAATTACTAAAGTCTTAACCTTTTAGATTTAGTCAAAATCAAACATGTTCTGTGATGAGTTAAAATGAATCAAAAGTTGTAGAAAATATACAAAATATACTTAGGAAAATTTTGTATTTATCAAATGTGATGAATCATTATTATTTGTCTATAATGTGATGAATGTCATTATTATTTGTCTATAATGTGATGAATGTCATTATTATTTGTCTATAATGTGATGAATGTCATTAGTATTTGTCTATAATGTGATGAATGTCATTAGTATTTGTCTATAATGTGATGAATGTCATTAGTATTTGTCTATAATGTGATGAATGTCATTAGTATTTGTCTATAATGTGATGAAGGCTATTTTGTGGTATTTTCTTTAATTGAAATTTTGTTTGTTAAGCGCAGTGAATATAGTATTCAACCCATTTTCCTGTTTTTACTTAGTTCAGTCCATTTATTATGCACCACATACCCATCTTGTGGGCGGTAGTGCAAAGGGTTACAGTGCTTTTTGTAACTTATGTACTATAAAGTACTTAGTAGTAGGCATCCATTAGTCTCAAGAGACTATGGAGTTGGGCTCTGGTTGTCGGTCTGGAGTGGCCTCTCCAGGGCGCAAAGCCAGGGTAGGTTGATACGGGGGGGTAGGGGGGGAGAAGTTGTTACCCATGCAGCAGGTTTCCCCTCCCCCCTCTCCACAGAAGTTACTAAGGTAACTACATAGTTACCTTTGTAACTGTGGATTTACTGTTAGCCCCAGTAAGCCATATTTTGTACTTTTTGCTTTATTGAGGGCGGGAGAAATAATGCTGAAACTAAAGTTAAATGTTCCTGAGCGATAATATATATATATATATATATATATATATATATATATATATATATATATATATATATATATATATATATATATAATCACATATTTGTTGTATACTGGGCCATAAATAGCATGTATTACGCCTGAGATGGATAGATTAGGTTTAATTAGCCTCATAACTTTAAAAAACTCAATACAACAAAAGTCTTCTTTCAGCTGGTCCATCACGACTTACTAGTGCTTTCAAGCACTGCATTACTCTAAGCTCTGTTCCTTCATTTCAGGAGGATAGGCTAGTATTACACGCATTCAGACAGTAAAACTAAGGAATAGGAAGATATGAATATTAAGAGAATGTTAGTCAACTTAACCTATTTTCACAAATTACAGGAAGTAGCCTATTTTACTGTTGAGTGTATAACTTTATTGTTATTATTAGACCGGCGCCCGAAAGGACATATGAAGGGCGTGTTTAAGGCGTGGCCGGATGGGGGGCGGAGCGGCCATGCAGAAGCAGGCCGGCTGTCCTTTCTTAAGACACCATCACCACCATCTTGGCCCAGGCTACACGTGCTCAGGTGAGTGACTTTTATTAAATGTTATTTGCTGGTTTGCAGTAGTGGTTTTGACACGTTTTGAAGTATGTCAACACAACCACACCATCACAACCGAACCACACCACCACAACCACACCACCACAACCGAACCTCCACAACCACACCACCACAACCGAACCTCCACAACCACACCACCACAACCGAACCTCCACAACCACACCATCACAACCGAACCACACCACCACAACCACACCACCAAAGAAGGGGGTTGTAGACCCCTTCACCCCCCCCCAACACCCACAACACAACAAAACTTCACAACAAGAGGATCAATAAAGAGCCATAAAGAGTTAAGACCTCAGTATGTGCCTATAGTCACAGATACATAAACACTACTAGGTGAACACCAGTGTCACCACACGCACTAACGACTCAACTAGCGGTAGTTGGCTCGTTATCGTGACCTCTACCTCCCCCCCCCTCCCCCCTTCCAAGATACCACTGACCTCTGGGGGTCAACACCTTGACACCCACACAGCCCTCACCAGCGGTCACACGTCACTAAACAGACGCACTAAATTACCCGAACCTAACACAACCCGAGGGCAGGAGGCCTAGGGATAGAAAACAGGATATCAGATCAATATTGTCGAGCCGCTATGATTTGTAGTACACCAGATTTTGGCCGTAGGGGAAGGGATTTATACGCCGTAATGCGATGTTCTATCCGGGCGCCTGATGACTGTATCTGGCGAGGTGACTGTATCGGAATGACAGGATGGACGACTGTAAATGACTGTAACTGACAGGATGACTATAATTGGCAGGATGAAAGACTGTAGTCTGTTGCCTTAAGCATGAGCTCAAAGGGTTTATTGAGCTCATTTTAACCAAGGGCAATGTTGCCTGTGCTCTCACCCGTCCAGTTGCTAGCCGAACCCGGCCGTGTTCACCTACAGATGAACACCACTGCTCTAGGATGAACACCACTGCTCTAGGATGAACACCACTGCTCCAGGATGAACACCACTGCTCTAGGATGAACACCACTGCTCCAGGATGAACACCACTACTCCAGGATGAACACCACTGCTCCAGGATGAACACCACTGCTCTAGGATGAACACCACTGCTCCAGGATGAGCACCACTGCTCCAGGATGAACACCACTGCTCCAGGATGAACACCACTACTCCAGGATGAACACCACTGCTCTAGGATGAACACCACTGCTCCAGGATGAACACCACTGCTCTAGGATGAACACCACTGCTCTAGGATGAACACCACTGCTCTAGGATGAACACCACTGCTCCAGGATGAACACCACTACTCCAGGATGAACACCACTGCTCTAGGATGAACACCACTGCTCCAGGATGAACACCACTGCTCCAGGATGAACACCACTGCTCCAGGATGAACACCACTGCTCCAGGATGAACACCACTGCTCCAGGATGAACACCACTGCTCCAGGATGAACACCACTGCTCTAGGATGAACACCACTGCTCCAGGATGAACACCACTGCTCCAGGATGAACACCACTGCTCTAGGATGAACACCACTGCACCAGGATGAACACCACTGCTCCAGGATGAACACCACTGCACCAGGATGAACACCACTGCTCCAGGATGAACACCACTGCTCCAGGATGAACACCACTGCTCCAGGATGAACACCACTGCTCCAGGATGAACACCACTGCTCCAGGAGGAAGCAGTGCAGTCTTTAAATGCAAAATAATTATAATTTATATTACTAGGCAAATTATAATATATGATGACATGTAAATTATTTAATTATAATGTATGATTCTGTAAAATTATAGCCAGTTAAATTATCATTCACTCGTCAGTGGAGGGAATTATCAGTAGAAAGCACCAACCAATTACTATATAGCACTGAAAAGGGCCAGGATAAGGATTTGGGATGGGACGGGGGGGGGGGGGGGAGGGATGGAATGGTGCCCAAGCACTTTGGGAAGGTCGGGAATTGAACGCCGACTTGCATGAAGCGAGACCGTCGTTCTACCGTCCAGCCCCTTCAGTGGAAATAAACAGTCGATATATAGAGCTATCAACAACTCCTCAGACCAAGTACATTCCATCCAGCGGTCGACCCCACAGACGCATTCATTAATGTTAACATGATGTTCATTCAAAAGAGAACTTTTCTCAAGTATAAATTAATATTATAATATATTACCATATTGTGTATATATATAGGCATAGGTTAGGTGTTTAGGTTCTGTTGGCGATTATTTGTATTTGTAGTACGTGGGTGAAGCATTTACAGCGTTGTGGTTCGAACAAAATGCTGAAGACTATTCCATGCACCCGCCAAACCCCAGCTGTTTATGATTGAACAACGGTTTACACACGACTCACAACTGATGACGTTCGAACACTTCCGGAACAAGTGCTTCACTGACGAATTTTGTTCGAACCACAACGCTGTAAATGCTTCACCCACGTACTACAAATACAAATAATCGTCAACAGAACCTAAACACCTAACCTAACCTACCTTGAGGTTACCTTGAGGTGCTTCCGGGGCTTAGCGTCCCCGCGGCCCGGTCGTCGACCAGGCCTCCTGGTTGCTGGACTGATCAACCAGGCTGTTGGAGGCGGCTGCTCGCAGCCTGACGTGTGTCAGGCTATGCCTATATATACACAATATGCTAATATATAATAATATTAATTTATACTTGAGAAAAATTCTGTTTTGAATGATGATCATGTTAACATTGATGAATACATCTTTATAGTCTCCGTGGTGCAGTGGTAAGACACTCGCCTGGCGTTCCGCGAGCGCTTTGTCATGGGTTCGTGTCCTGGCCGGGGAGGATTTACTGGGCGCAAATCCTTAACTGTAGCCTCTGTTTAACGCAACAGTAAAATGTGTACTAGGTTGTAACAACGATTCTTCGCGGCAGGGGGTCGTATTCCAGGGACCTGCCCGAAACGCTACGCGTACTAGTGGCTCTACAAGAATGTAACAACTCTTGTATATATCTGAAAAAAATGGTTGTTGTTGTTGATTAAGGGGCGACGACGGTCGTGGGATCGGATGCGCTCCGGCGTACCCGTGAATGGTTAATGGCGAAGCCTAATGGCGAAATGAATGTCGCTTATCAGCGGAAACTAATGTGCCTCGCGGCCAATGAACACAAAGACGGGCAGATGACTGAGGCGCCCCCAGGAGTCCCCCAGGGCCCCAGGAGTCCCCCAGGGCCCCAGGAGTCCCCCAGGGTGACGAGCACCGGCCCCGCCCCTCACAGTGAACACTGGGGAGTAAAGCCAAAAACTTGGCCCCCAGCTAAAACCCAAAAGTTATACTGCGCCCTCCGGCACAGCAGAAGCCAGCCGCCCACCACGGCTGAGGGCACACCAGGAGCCCACCACGACTGAGAGCACACCAGCCGCCCACCAGGACCCGCCAACTCCCCGGCACCTCTCGGCCAAGCTGGCCCCCAACACCGTCACCCCGCCAAGAGAACCAGTCAGAACACGTAAACAAAATCTATCAACAACGCCGTGACCCAAGGCGACATGCGCGCCAGGCGCCGTACAACCGGACCCTTGAAGAAGAATACCAGACGCCAATAACAAAGCCAAAATCGCAAAAGAGAGCGTGATCCAGCGGCTCCCAGACGGAGGAGGCGTCCCAGACGTCCGCTCGGCGTCCCAGACGTCCGCTCGGCGTCCCAGACGTCCGCTCGGCGTCCCAGACGTCCGCTCGGCGTCCCAGACGTCCGCTCGGCGTCCCAGACGTCCGCTCGGCGTCCCAGACGTCCGCTCGGCGTCCCAGACGTCCGCTCGGCGTCCCAGACGTCCGCTCGGCGTCCCAGACGTCCGCTCGGCGTCCCAGACGTCCGCTCGGCGTCCCAGACGTCCGCTCGGCGTCAAGGTTGAACCAGGAGTCCTGTCTTTGCGGTCGACCGCTGGATGGAATGGACTTGAACTAGGCGGGTTGCCTAGAGTCCAGTTAAATGAAATTATAGACAGTGTTATATCATTTCAGAGAAATTCTAATGCGGTATTTTCATAACTTTGGAATTTTCGCTCAAAGTAAAGTGTCTGTTCTTCAGTATATATATATATATATATATATATATATATATATATATATATATATATATATATATATATATATATATATATATATGTAAGTTATATTTTGATACAAAGGAATTAGAGTATAATCTCTGATATAAGCTTTGTAATTTTTAATGTTATTTTCAGAAGGTAATTCTTTCGTTCATACTGCTATCATTAGTATCTGAATATTTACAATCCACACCCTCTTAGGTATTTACAATCCACATCCTCTTAGGTATTTACAATCCACACCCTCTTAGGTATTTACAATCCACACCCTCTTAGGTATTTACAATCCACATCCTCTTAGGTATTTACAATCCACACCCTCTTAGGTATTTACAATCCACATCCTCTTAGGTATTTACAATCCACACCCTCTTAGGTATTTACAATCCACACCCTCTTAGGTATTTACAATCCACACCCTCTTAGGTATTTACAATCCACACCCTCTTAGGTATTTACAATCCACACCCTCTTAGGTATTTACAATCCACACCCTCTTAGGTATTTACAATCCACACCCTCTTAGGTATTTACAATCCACACTCTCTTAGGTATTTACAATCCACATCCTCTTAAGTATTTACAATCCACACCCTCTTAGGTATTTACAATCGGCAACCGTTGGATAGATGCAATCTACCGCCTTTAGATAGATATATAGATTGTTAACTGCTGGGAATAACAAATTAGGTCATCTGTGACCTGGCTCCGTGACCTTCTTCCTGTCACTCTACGAGGAAGTGTGGAAGCTGCTGTTGTTATTGTTGTTTTAGATTCAGCTACTCGGAACAAAAAGTTGCAAGTAGCACGGGCTATGGTGAGCCCGTAGTGGACTTACCTGGCACAGGAGCGGGGCAAGTAGCACGGGCTATGGTGAGCCCGTAGTGGACTTACCTGGCACAGG